GTGGGACGGCGCTGCTGACCCGGGTACCTGCCGGGCCCAGTGAGGGACGGACGCCAGCTCCTCCACGGCAGGGTGTCTGAGCAGGGGCTCCCCGCTCCCACTGCCCCTTCCCCTCCCGCCTGTGTCACGCGGGCAGCCTTCTCCTCCCTCCCTCCCTTCCTCCTCTTCAGTTTTCATCCCGTCCAGTGTGGAGAACGCAAGGAGGCCTTTAATAAACAACCCTCCACGACGGCGCCCGTCACCCCTGGACGCTGACACCCAGCGGTCACAAGCGATGCTGTGTTTTCACAGCATTGTCAGGCCATGTCACACATGAACCCTGCATCCTTGTTACGTTACAGACTTCGGTGATAAACTGCTTTCCTTCCTCTGCCTGGGCGAGCTCTCGACACATATCCAAGTGTTTATTTGGCTTCATCAGCCACCTAAATGCTCAGATCACAAACTGGGAAGCCGGAAACACTTACAGTTTAGTTTCTTGTTAGTGCCTGTAAATGAGGATATTAATAATAACTTTCATAAAGTTATAGGATTAAATAAATTACTACATGTAAACTTATAAGTGTACCGGGAAACTAAATATTAATTATATTAATTCTTTAAAATTATCTTGGCAGCAAATAAATCAGTACAATAAAACTGTAGTATTTGATTATGAAAAGCTATTTATTCAGAGATCTTGACTTAACTGAAATGTTCTATTTTAATTACCAGAGTGGAGATTCATTTTAATCCATTAAAATGTTCTCAATATTAATGAAGTATTAATATCTAATTCAAATTACTCATAAAAGCAAAGCCTTTCAAAGCAAAGTTTATTGGAATGGAGAATAGTTATATCTGTAACCACAAAATGTCTTATATTTTCTAATAATTCTTTCCTTATACTTTTACATTTTCTAATAATTCCTCCTTTGTGTATTACCCTTGAACAGAGTTTTTGTTCTGGTTATTAGTTCAGTCTGAAATCTTTCTATTCAAGTAATTCAGATTGTATAAGAAATACTCCCTTTTTAGTATGTAGAAGGTAAAAATGATAATTATCTTAAATAGGTAGTAGATGATGACTCCCCAGAGATATATAAAACAATCTCTCAAGAATCTCTTACACCGGGAAAACTGGAAATTAATTTTGAAGAGTTATTAAAACAAAAAATGGAAGAAGAAAAACGACGAACAGAAGAGGAACGAAAACATAAGCTAGAAATGGAAAAACAGGAATTTGAACAACTAAGACAAGAAATGGGAGAGGTAAGATATTAAGGAATATCAATTTATGCCATTTACAGTTAAGCAACTTTTGCGGCCTTATAGTAGTAACCTTGTACTGTTATTCGTGTAAAGATACTCAACGTACTCCTGAGATCCAGACTTGCTACAGGCTTAGTGGTGACAGGTATTTTAGAGTCCGCTACAACTCCACTACTTCTCTGCTAGCTTGAAAAATATATAAAGGGAGGTGAGATGGTAGCTCAGTGGCAGAGTTCTTGTGTAGCATGTGTGAGGCATTGGGTTCGATCCCAAGCATATACCTCACACAAATATATATATATAATATCAAAATACATCGAGCATCAAATGAGTTACAAAGCAGTCAAGTACCAAGGTATGTATATGAATATATATGCATTTAAATTTGCAAATGATGGAGGTATTATAGTTTCTTCCTCTATAGCTCCAATTGTGGACAGGTACACCATGATTATGAACTGTACTTAATATACTCATTTATACAAATGTTCCTTGAAATAGGCATACAGCTAATTTAATTAAAACCAAACCACAGGAGTACCATCAATGACCCCATGTTCAGAGGGCGTGGCATGGCGCTGCTGAGGTTGCCATCTTGGAAGGTTCATTTTGTCTTTGATCATGGGTGTTTTAAGTGAAAGCTGATTTGGCAGTGGAGTATGTGATAAGGCACCAGATGCCTGGCTCACCCCCATCTCCTGCTCTTCCAGTGGGTTCTCAGTGGCCTCCTTCCCAAGGCCCTGCCTAACCTTCTCCCCATGTCTGGACACTGCTCTCTTCAGTGCGTGGTTCAGATTTTACAGCAGCAGAGAGGAAGGGGAGAGGACCCTGGCAGGGGCAGGCTGTACATAGGAATAGGGTCAGGGGCCAGCACACAGGGCCCCCCACTTGGGGCAAGGTGAGCAGTGACTGTCCTGGCCTGGTGGCAGTGCCCTGGTCTGCTTGGCAGGCAACACGGTGGGCTCTTCTTGCCAACTCCTGATCTACAGGGGTCGCAGGCTCTTGGAAGTTGCTTGTTGGTCACAGGTTGTGGCAAGGAGTTTTACTTCCCTATGCTGGCTGTTATCTAGCTTGCAATGATAATAGATAGAAATGTATAAATATACTATACGAAATGCTTTCCTTCACCTCCTGCAAATTAAGTAACACATTTCCTAAGGGAAGCTGGAAGTGAACAGTCTAATTGTCTGGAAAACTCACTTCTAGGAAAATGTAGGAATTTACCAGACTGTAGTTCTAATGTCAGCTTGAGTATTAACAGTGATGTTTAACCCTACACTACCATAAAACCAAAGGAGAAAGTTTGGAGATAGTCTGCCTCTAGTTATAGATGAAGAAAATCATGCCCAATGGGTTGAACTCTGAGGTGAGAGGCCAAACACACATCGTCAAACCTGTAATCCCTATCTTAAGAGTAGCCTGTGTTCTCGCAATTCTTTTTCCTTTAATAAAAATCTTCCTGTAATTCCTAGTAAACATTAATCTTGCCCAGCATATTTTAATTTTAGCATATTCTGGAAATGTTAGAGGATTATATCTATGCTTCCTGATAAAATATATATATAGATATCTATCTATCTATCTATATATATATCTATATATATATATAAAATGGAATATTTTTTAGTTTTAAATATGTCGAACCACTTTTTTTTCTTTTCTCGGTACCAAGGATCAAACTCAGGACCTTGTGCTTGCAAAGCAGGTGTGGAGCCACTGAGCTAAATCCCCGGCCCTGCCGCACCACTTTTAATTAGATTTGGACATTATCTTTAGGGAAGAGATTATTTAGTTTTATTTCTGGCTTCAAATAAGAAATGGTGTACACTTTTTATTGTACAAACTATAGTCCCCTCACCTTTCTGCATTTTCAAGCAGTCTCAAAATACTCAATGGGAAATTTCAGGAATAAACAGTTCACCAGTTCATACTGTACTGCTATACAGCGTTCCATGTAGTGTGATGTCAATTCTTGCTGTCCCCCCCTCCTGCCAGAACACGGGTCCTTCCTTTGTCCGGCACATCTGTGCTGTTTCACCCCTGGCCGTCAGTCACTTCTCTATCATCAGATCGGTATCACAGGAGAGCAGGCTTGTATTCAAGTAATCCGGGTTCTCCTCCATAATGGGCCCAAAGCCCAGGAGCACCAAGGCTGGATATATGTGCCAGAAAGAAGCTGGAAAGGCTTCTGTAAATGAAATGGTGAAAGTTCTGGATTTACTAAGAGAAGGAGCTGGGCGTGGCGGCGCACCCCTGTAATCCCAGCACCGGGGAGGCAGAGCCAGGAGGATCGCTATGAGTTTGAGGCCAGCCTGAATTACACACTGAACAGTCCACTACATAGGAGACCCTACCCCCAACAAGAAACAAAGAAAACCCAAAACAGAACAAAGCAAAATCTGTATGCTGGCGTTGCTAAGATTTACAGGTAGAATGACCATAAGAAACAGCACATACAGGATTATCTGTTGGGTGTCTTGAAAAATCTACTCTGTGGATAAGGAGAAAACCATTAAATTTGCTAATAGCCAATATAAAAATCTTAATTTCTTGAAGGAAGAGGAAGAAAGTGAAACTTTTGAGCTGAGCAGAGAATACGAAGAATTAATCAAACTGAAAAGAAGTGGCTCTATTCAAGCTAAAAACCTAAAAAGCAAGTTTGAAAAAATCGGACAGTTGTCTGAAAGAGAAGTACAGAAAAAGATAGAAGAGGAGCGAGCGAGGAGGAGAGCAACTGACCTTGAAATTAAAGAGCGAGAAGCAGAAAACTTCCACGAGGTACACTAATCTCATATTTAAGTTACAGCACAGTGATAATGAGTTTAACAAATACTGGCTTGGAATGTGTCGGTACTGACAATCACTGGCAAATATAATACTCCGGAAACTAGCAAAACCATGGTTAAGACCTGAAGAAATTTTGACACACTTTCCCACTCTAGCATGGTTTCAAAGTGAGACTTACCATATAATGAACCTCAAATAGTTCAGTCGAAGCAAATATAGTTCACAAATATTTACTGGGATGTATTGTAGCTGATTCAGTAAAACTGGTGTATATTCAAGTCTGACTCCCGTGACTGCTCAGCCTAATGCTCACACTTTACTAGTGAGGTCCACTAGTGCTTGACATCACAGCAGTGGTTCAGTGGAACAGCCTTCACCGGAATTCTGAGGACAAGAGTTTGAATTTGAACCACTTCCGTATGTAAAATGCGGAGGCCAGCGCTATCTGTGATGTCACTGCCAGTTAAGGAGCACGTCCGTGGCTATGAGTACTCGTTTCACTGAGCTCTGGTGTTTATTTTCTGCCAGAATTGCCATTCTATAATATTCAACAGCATCTGACCTATATTCTACAAATACATTTTTATCAAATCTTCAACTAGTGAGGTGTGGGAAGTTGGGAGGGCTTTTAGAGGAGACTGAAAAAGCGGGCAGAATGAAGACGTTATGCGCACACCACTGGGACCAGAAGCAATTCATTAAGGTAAGCACAGCGCAACAAATTAAAGATGAGCAGCGTGCGGTGGGGCCCCCTGTAGGATCAGCTCTCTGGGAATGCTGGCAGGAGGATCCCAAGTTCAAGCCAAGCCCCAGCAATTTAGTGACTTAGCAAGAGCAAAGTAAAAGAAGGGAAGGGGATGTAGCTCAGTGACAAGGCCTGATTCAATCCCCACCACTGGAAAGCAACCAGTCAGATTAAAAACAAAAGCAAGCACAGGTGAGCTGATCATGAAGGTCTCAAGACAGCATGTAAAGGGATTTTTACAACATGGAGGGATGCCAGATGGGGTGGCACGTCTATAATCCCAGCACTCTGGAGGCTGAGGCAGGAAGGTCTAGTTTGAGTCCAGCTTGGCCAATTTAGCAAGACCCTGACTCAAAGATGGAAAGGGGTGTGATGATGTACAAAGCACAAAGCCCTGGGCTCGATCTCCAGCAGTGCAAACGAAACAAGAAAACTTGCTGACCCTGGATGTGGCTTCTGATTGCCAGCTGTGTTCAGGTGCTGCTCCACACAAGGCACATCATGCCTGCACAGTGTGGAGATGAGAATAAATATGGCTGGGTGCACACCTGTGACCCCAGCACCTGGGAAGCACAGGCAGGAAGATTGCTGGGCCAGCCTGGGCTCCACAGTGAGTTCAAGGCCAGCCTGACCGGCATAGTGAGAGTCTCAAAGGAAGGATAAGGTAGCCAGGTGGCTTCTTGTCTGCCAGCTCTCACTGGCTCTTGCATGTGACAGCGGGGCACGACTCAGCTCCTCAAAGCCATGCAGAGGTCCTGGATGGAGCCTGCCGTGAAGGAAGACCCCTCACGTACTTTTTCCGGAATGTCACTGGGACAGCCTTTAAAAACCTCGTTATAGTAGTGGCAGAGTAAGTCAACTTCTGGAGTGGGTATTCCCACAGGCATTGGAATCCCTACAGCAATTTCCATCCCTCGTCTGATCTAGTTTCCTTTAGAAAATACCAGTATTTAACGTCTTCAAATTATTTAATTCTATAATTAAAAAAATTTTTTTTTGGAAACAAGGTATTTCTAAGCTTCTAAGTAGCCCAGGCTAGGTTTGAACTTGAGATCCTCCTGCCTCAGTCTCAGCAAGGGGGGGGTGGGCTCAATCCCCCTAAAATCCTGCCTCAGCCTCCCAAACTTCCTCCAATTAAAAAATTCTACTGCAGCACCTGCAGTGCTTAACCCATACCACTTACTTGGCTTAAATGCTTGACAGTTTGACGTTATAGGTAAGCCTTTCTAGTAGGGTATACTCCAAAAGCATGACTTACCCTGCAGATCACCTCAAAGATAAGCGCATCTGCCTTCAGGACTCCCGCACAGGGGCCATCAGTGCCCTGGGAATAATGGCTCTGCAGTAACAATCCACTCCACTCCCATGATCCTGCAGGCCCACAAATGCTAACTCTGCTTTTTGGGGTTTCAAGGTGCTGTGTATTTAACTGGCTGCTCATGTGCTTCCCATTTAGCTAATGAGGAATTCTCAAACTCAAATTTCTTTTGTTCTAAGTGCGTATCTGAGGCAGCTAAATGAGCAATTCTGAATTTGCAAATTTTTATGCTAAAATATGGAGTTATTAAATGGAATTCTGAAGAGCAGTTATTTATAGGCAGAAATAAGCAACACACATTTATCTTTTAAGCCTAACAGTTAAAATAAATTGAGTGCAGTCACAGTTCTTCCCATCTCAAAGTGGCAGATATACTGTAACCGTGATGTCCCAGGATTTCCCTACATGATCTCTGAAAAACTTCCCAACTTTCTACTTCTTTCACTGGGTCATGAGGACAAAACTTCACACTAAGGTGAAACACAGATTAAGTTGTATAATTAACCTTATTCCACCATCTCCCTTTAGTTGGATCTGGTACCCTAAAGCAACTCCTCATATAAATGGTAAAGACTTTCAGACACACACACACAAACAGTACAGTAGTTTGGAAACAGGATTCAGTCTAGTTTTTGAAACATGAATTGTACCTGTTAACATGTTTCTTTTTGTATTGCTATATCCTCACCTGTTTTATAAAAATTGAGAAAAGGTCTTGCTGAGTTTCTCAGACTGGCATTAAACCTGGGATCCTACCCCAGTCGAGGCAGGAATGACCAGCACCCCATACTTGGCCTAAAACTACTGATGCCCATTGGGGACATCACACCACCAACCTGCCTGCCTCCTTGTTTGACAGTTGCTTCTGCTTTTCACTCACTCCCTTTCACCTCCCCATGTTCCAGACTCTGCCTTTATTTCTGGGATAAGGAAGGAAAAATTATGAAGTGAGAGTCGTCACATTTTTCAGAGGGTGAAGTATGGAGTCTTCTATGAATTTCAACAACTGTTGGAGCTACAGTACTAGTCACCCCCCTCCCCAACTATCCAGTACAATGGAAGACAAGCACAGTGGGCATATAGCTCTGTGACCTTTACACTGGGAGAAAAAGGCCACAATTCAGTTTCATAGCCTGAAGAACAGCAGAAATATAGGCCAACATTCATTTTTTGGTGTCTATAGTGACAGACTATTAACACTTTAGATCTGGGTTTTCAGAAAACTGTTAATCTTGGGCCACTTTCTTAAAGGAAGAAGATGTTGATGTAAAGCCTGCAAAGAAAAGTGAGGCTCCATTTACTCATAAAGTGAATATGAAAGCTAGATTTGAACGAATGGCTAAAGCAAGAGAAGAGGAAGAACAGAGAAGAATTGAAGAACAGAAACTACTAAGAATGCAGTTTGAACAAAAAGAGATTGATGCAGCTCTACAGAAGGTACCAGTACCAGGCTTATTTTCCAAGAAATGTGCTTAAATTCCAGTTACATGAAGAATCTTTTAAATGTTTTCACAGCTTTCAAGTCACTGGAATGTTTTGTACTATAGTTAAGATGTTCATTACTTTTACCTTCAAAATTCAATTACAAAATTTGTGCTTAGAACACTGTGATTATCATAAATGCCAACCGGAATGTGCTTATTTTAATGCAGAAAAGGGAAGAGGAGGAAGAGGAGAAGGGCAGCATCATGAATGGCTCCACTACTGAAGATGAAGAGCAAACAGGATCAGGAGCTCCATGGTTCAAGAAGCCACTAAAAAACACGTCAGTTGTAGACAGTGAGCCAGTTCGATTCACTGTGACGGTAACAGGAGCACCCAAACCAGAAGTCACATGGTGGTTTGAGGGAGAGATGCTACAGGACGGGGAAGACTATCAATACATTGAAAGAGGAGAAACGTACTGCCTGTACTTACCAGAAACTTTCCCAGAAGACGGAGGAGAGTATATGTGTAAAGCGGTCAATAATAAAGGCTCTGCAGCTAGTACCTGCATTCTTACCATTGAAAGTAAGAATTAATCAGTCTTTTCACCTTCTGTTCTATTCATGATGTGCTTTTCCTTCAAAAATAATTTTTCTTCTCTTTCTCTTTTTAGCCGACAACTACTAGGCTTACTTCTCCCCTGGGAACTTTCTCTCCCCGCAACTTTCTCACTACTTACTATATCCATCTTTTCTGTGGCGGGGCCGAAAAAGGAAACCAGAAGTGCCACTATGTTGACTTCCTTCCTTTTCCTAACAGTTTTCAAAACAGATGCTCATCTACAGAACGCCTTCTTCTCCAAACGAGCGTCAGCTTTATCGCCATTCTACAGAGGCCAATAAAATGTATCCAAGGGGGATGGGAAATTTATTCCATTATTCTATCAGAACCCGATACAAAGGACATGTATTTCCTCTAAGTTTTATATCAATTGTATTTTTTTTTCTTTTTATTGAGGTTATTGGTACAATCTAGGTATACAATACAATTACATTTCTCCAAACGAGCGTCAGCTTTATCGCCATTCTACAGAGGCCAATAAAATGTATCCAAGGGGGATGGGAAATTTATTCCATTATTCTATCAGAACCCGATACAAAGGACATGTATTTCCTCTAAGTTTTATATCAATTGTATTTTTTTTTCTTTTTATTGAGGTTATTGGTACAATCTAGGTATACAATACAATTACATTCATCATTGTGGGTCCTGTACCTTTACATAATAGGTCTTGATTCTCATTTTTCCCCTTGTCCCTGCCCTCCCTTCACCCCCTCCTCCCCTCCCGATTTACACACTTTATTTCCATTTTTTCAGTTTCTCACATTTTTTTCCTCTCCCTTATTACCTTTCCCCCACCCTTCCCACTTTCCTTCCACCTTTAGCCCTTTACTTCCTATTTCACATTATTAATTGTCTCATTAGGATCCTGTGTACTATTATAGTTTTTCACACCAAAGAAACTATTTGGCATTTCAGTTAAAGAAATCTCTGTATGAACATTAAAAATAGGGAATCCTAAAATAAAACTAAAAAGGAAAGTAAAAGAGAAAAGGCAATGATGTAACATCAAAATAATCCTTAATCCTGGAGATGAAAATGGTCCCTGAACATATTTTTTAAAGTATACATTATTTTGCATGAAAAAATGTCATTTATGAACTTTTATGCCTAACGTAGTCCGAAATAGCGAGGGCATTGAATTTGGAACCTACAAATGAGTGGATTTAAAAAAAAATAGTAGCAATTTTGATTGTGATAGTCTCAGTCTTTTTGAAGCAGATGTAGAGGGGAAAGGGTATCATTCTTTTCATGGGAAAGAAGAGCATGGATAGAAAGGAAATTAAAGTACAATGGTCAAGAAACTGCCAGACAAAAGTTGATAGAAACCAGTGTTCTGAATATTTAACATGTACTACTGAAATGTATAATATATAAAGCTACACAACAAACTTTTGCTGTGATCTTGTCTGAACAAATTATACTTTAATGAGAAAAATATGCATTAATAGTTCATGCAGGAGAAAAGATTTTCAACATCACTGAAGGTTTTAAGATCTAAGAGCATTAGGCTCAGAAGTGGCACAATTAAAAATAATAAAGCCGTAATCTTTAAAATAAGTTTGTAAATAATTAGCTATTATGTTCTCTTATCAAATTGTTTTATATTTTAACTTTCTGAAATAATTTTATTTTACAACGTGAAGCCATAATAAAGCAACTTGTGTATTAAAAGGGAAAAAGTGGGTCTTTCTTCAAAGACGTGAGTAATCAAATGCTTATCCTTCATTGTCCTCACAGTTCATAAACCTTTAAGGGGGAGTTTAAGGTAGAAAAAAAGCACTTTACTGGGTTTATATGTATCAAAGACACAAAGTACTCATGATATTTGTCAATGTACATTTATCTTTTTATTGAGACCATAACGAATACAAAATTACAGCAATCATGTGTCCTTTACATACAGTGTCATTAAAGCAAACTCTAAACCACAGTTTGTAAAGTATTCAATTTACCTCAAGTCCAAGCTGCATCTCCCTAAGACACTGTTCCCATCACAGTAGCCATTTTAAGCCAATCTTCTTTTTACACACGGGTAGTTTCTGTAGAGAACACTTTTCTCAGGACGAAAATGCATTGAGCATGCATAAGAAAAGAATATATATATATATATTCGCAAATACATTTAATAGTTTCTTTAGGGATATTACCAAAGAAAATAAAGCCCTGGGATTTGCTTTGTCAAAGCACCAATTAAAAAACCCTTCAAAAGTTTATGTTGTGGTAAGAAAAGTCAAGTGACCGATTAAACAAAAAGTATGGTTATTTTCAGAGTCAAAATTATCTTTAAGTATCGTTAAAATGCATTTTAAACTGAGGCAGAATTTGCAGACAGAGAACAAAAGTAAGACATCTTCACTGATGGCTAAACTTTGTTATCATTATTCTAGACAAGAGATAACTTTCCAGATAGAACTGGTTCTACTGGCAGAGTATTCAAACAAATAGTGTCACCACTTTTTAATACACTAATTCCTTCTGAAGTTACTCTATTTCTACTGGAACTCACCCTCATTAACTACCAAGAAGTTTAAGGATGTATTTTACAGTGTTAATAAACTAGAATCAAATCACGTTTTAATATTAAAACTATTTTCATTAAAAAACAAAACTATACTCTCATTTCTAAAAGAAACAAATGATAGAAGTATATATACACTAAGATGTCTTTTAAAAAGTTCTCAAATTTTTGCTTAAGTGCTAAATCAGATAAATCAATTTAACTTCAATCTAAACTAAACATTTTTCACCACCCCTACAAATACACTGCATTCAAGTCAACTGGCTCACCTTTTCGGCTTTCCATGTATTTCAAGGTTAAGATTAGTGCCATTAAAAAAAAAAAAAAAAAAAAAAAAAAAAAAAAATTT